ACCTTATTAGTACCCTATTGAGTACTATTGCTCTAATCAATACCCTATTGACCTCCTTTGGAGCCAAAAATAGGCGGTAATAGGGAGGTTCCCTATTGAACCTCATTTTACCTGTGTTTATTAATAAACAGAAGAAATCTGTAACAGATAATATTATATTTAATAATAAATTAGACACTGTGATTTGGATTTTTGAGTAAAATGATTATAAAAGTTGAAGAATGTACAGTCAAATAGTTTATATTTGTATTTTCATTGTGAAATCCAAGATAAAAATTCGAAAATTAAAATTTAAAGCTCGAGCAATAAGAAGTGATTCTGAAGGTAATGTATGGGCCGATATATTCTTGCCAAAGTTGTTCTGAATGTATGGTATATTGATGTATTGGTACAATTGGTGCATTGATGGATTTGGAATTTCTATCGTGCTCAATTTCAACATCAACCCTAACAATAATTATTCGGGTGACTAAAATTCATAATATATTATACAAATATTGTAATAGGCTACTATGCAGCAGCTTAATACAACAAATAGAATATGTATAATCAAACCCAGTTATTGTCTAACTGTTAGGCTGTTACATATAACAACTGTCATGAATAAACAAATATAATAAAAACATAAATGACGCATTATACTGTACATGCGTAATTCTCGTATATCACGCGTTATAATCATTCTACATCAAATGTTCTTTATTTGCTTCGAAACAACAAAAGTAGTATTACATGAATGTATTAAAATCTCATTTCATAGAACACTAATTAATAATTTATTGATCTTTGACATAATGAATATGAATATTTATCTTTAATACAAAAAATGAATTTAAAAAATAAATCCTTGAACTATCATATGAATATCGTTATTTTCTACCCTTAACATCCAACTCGAAAGTTGTACGATATGTTTCACCCGTTATCTTATTTCTAGCTGAAGCTTTAATTTCCATCGTGCCAAAGGTTAATTCAAATTCCACAGGGCGATCTCGTCCTAATGATAGCGCTTTAGATAAAGCAATTTTAAGGGTACCAAGAATCCGCATTCCGGCATCCTTAATGTATTTAGGTCTCGTCTCTTTTGTAATGTATACTTGAAATACCGCCATTTTTTGGTCAGCATTTAATGGCTTATAGTCTTTACGAAAAGACTGGTTGACCGAAACGCGTGTTCCACGACCCACGAGAAGGTCAAACTTCCAGATTTTATTATCATCTGTTCTAAAATATTATATAGAACTGACGTTAATTCTGTGAATTTACGAATTACTATTGATTTATAATATAACTTACCGGAGTTTAGGTGGATCATTTCGAATATCAAAATCAGCTTTCACTTCCACTCCGTACGTCCATTTCAACACTCGACTTTCGACAAGGCCCATGTCTAAGCCGTATTTTACAGCGCCTTTAACGATAGCCGCTATCGGTGCTCGAGGAGACGCAATAATAGGTACACGTCCTTCGAATTTTTCTCGGACACGTTTTCTTAAATATGATGATTCACTGAACCCTCCCACTAAAAACATGGCTTTACATTTACGTTGTGCCCTAAGATCTAATAATTGATTATTAATTAATTTGATGATTTTGTTGACTACTGGGTCGAACATTTGTTTCACAGTGTCGTACTCTAGTTCGATTATCCATTCATTATTTTCTAAATTGGTTCTTTCTGAACCAGTGATATATTTAATCAATGAGGGGCACTGTCTTTCTAGATCCAATTCAATGCTTTCAAACTTTTCGCGGTCACCATTAAATGGAAGCTTTACGGTCTCACAGAAAAATCTATGAACAAGTTTTTGTAAGTCTCCGTAAGCATATGATTTTAGCCTCTGTAAGGCAGTGAAGCCTACTATGCGGCCCATAAAATCTATGAATTCTTGATCAACATATGTACTTCCACATAGATCTCCACTTCTTTCAGTTTCTTCTTTCAATTTTTTGCCCGGCTGTATCGTTCTCATCGTTAGATCCACTGTTCCACCACCACAATCCACTACTAGAAACGTGTCTACAAAAATTAATAATTATCATATTCAATATTAAAAGAATTATTGTTAAAAATTTTCCTCAATGCCTCTTGCAAAAGCTAAATTTGAAGCTAACGCATTGCACTGGTAAACCAATGGTCGTTTGCTTAATTATTACTGTTAACAAGTCTTTGTTTTAAAGATATCACACATTATCAATCCCATTTACATTATTTCTGCGAGTGATACATACCAAAAAAGGAAAAAATTAATTTATTGGTCTATTCTACATTAATGACACGTGAGTTCACGGTATTAGGATTAAGGTTAGGATAAGCACAGAGCATACTACGTAAAATTTTACGTAAAGGATAGTTTCTTATTCAATATTTTGAGTTATTGGAGATTTTTTTTGAAAAGACTTTCGATCTCAAATCTGCATAAGAAAATTTCCTTTTTCGGCTTGTATCATTTGCAGAATAAGCAAAGGTCACTCAAAATTACAAAACGGGAAATAATAGCATAATTATATTGAGGGAATTGATTTTCAAGTTTTTTGAATACTAACCCCCTACTGTTAATTCATGCTCTTCAATGACTGATAGGCAATGAAGTGCCGCCGCCTCCGCTGTCGTTATGGAATAACGAGAATTCAATAAATGTACCTCGTTAAGCAAAAGATGTAAAAATAGTACAAAATAAAGATAATTACGTTCAGTTGTAAATTCTAAATGCGATTCGATTGATTCGTTTAACCTGTAATTATTGTAAGCGATAAACAAGGTTAAAAGTTATAATTAAAATTCAAAAACTATGATTAAGTTATTTAATTACAGTCCAGCCTTGTATGCGCAGTCGCGCATTATAGCTTTAGTATGCGGTCCCTAATAATAAAAAAATGTAAATCAAATGGATCGCGTTTTGTTAATAACTCACTTACTTTCTGAACTTTTGACAAATTAGTAACTTACCCATTCCGCAGGCACACATAAAACAAATAATACTTGTGATAACTTAAGTCCTGGCCAACGTTTATCAAGAGTTTCTTCTATAACCTACAGTATTTAATCATAAACGATCAATATTCAAATGAGCTTATCTTAAACTTATAAGTACTCACTCCTTTCATTTTTCTTAGATAATCACTAATAGCTTTTTTATAATCTAAATTTGGCGGTAAGGATAGTCTTTCTATCGCATTATCGTCTAGATATAATTTAAATCTTTCAGCAACATGTTGCTGCGGCGGAAGTGGTGAACCCAATTCCCTAATATTATTTCTATTCTTTTTCGGTTCATGAACTAAGGCGGGTTCGCCCCATTTCAATACTTCGGTACAAGTACCATCATATAACAAAACTGTATTTGTTTTTGGAAGACCATCTCTTCCTGACCTAAATACGATAAATATCATTTAATTTTATAACTGAAAGTAAATTTATTTGTGACAAATTAATGATTTAAGACTACCATCGTGTATTTATCTCAATTTCTTTCGGAGAAATCTTGTTTGCATAAGCGAAGCCGCTATATGTCGTCCCAAAATCTTTTAATAACAGAAGATCGGCTTAAATATCGCTTTAATTAATAAATCTAATAAAATATCAAATTAATATCAGTCAAATACCAATCGCAACGACGGCTCTTATGTCTTCTGGTGAAGAAGTATATCGAGAAGTATGCGGATAATACGACTGAGAAAATTGATGACGATTTAAAGACTTCATGGCAGATAATTAAATTTGATAGTTGAAAACCACAGTGGCTTAAATTTATATATAGTTGAAAAACATTGTGATATTTCGAAGAGTCGTACAGCAAGTAATTAACTTTAAAAAATTCATATTATTCCTGTTTTATTCTTGGATTTCAACTTTTCATTGATAAGAACTTATATGGTTTCACCGGAGACTACTTTCAGATTCAATCAACTTCCTTAATTAAAAGTTTTGATCATCTATCGCAATCTGTTGTAAAAATTCTCATGACGAAAAAGTGAACAATGACAAATTTTGATGCTAACTACGGTAGGCGGATGATTTTCCGAATATCCGGGGCTGTGCGTTTCGATTTAAGTAAAAATAATAGATTCTTATCTTTAAAAAAAAGATTTTTTTTTTCCAAGCACTTTCTTCTAAAATGAACCACCGACATCAACCATATTATTGGAGTTATGGAGGTCGTGAAGGTTATGGAGGCTATAGAGGCTATAGATAGGGTGTCTGGCACACAAAAAAAATTTTGGCATGTCACAGGCAGGCCTTTTGTCAAAATTGTGCCATGGCATGCCTTTTGGCATGCCATAAAATATTGTATTATAATAATCATAATACTATAAGTCTAATATACAGTATAGATACTATAAATATAGTTTTTATACTATACCTAGTGGCATACCAAAAACAAATTTGGCATGCCACTAGTATGCCACTATGGCATACCAACATTGGCATGCCTTTGCTACTATGCCAGACTCCTTAGCTATAGAGGTCATGGAGGTCATGGAGGTCATGGAGGTCATGGAGTTCATGGAAGTCATGGAGTCAGTAATGAAATTCATCTCGGTTCTTGTCAAGAAACTATTTCAAGTAATTATGAAGAAGATTTAACAGAAATTTTTAAAATTTTTGTGTTAATACCAAAATGGTATGGTTATTTCTATTTATTTATAATGGTCTGCCATGCAGATTACAAAACTGGATCCTGGGATTCAGGTGTTGATAAAGTTATAAAACAATTATCAGAAATCCAATCATTTATTAATGAAATAAACCAAAATTGTGGTGCTAGTCCAAAATTCTTGAAGATGTTAAAAAAATTCTTGATAAATATTGAAATTTATTACAAGTAAATCATAATCAAACAAATATGAATCAATTAATAGAAAAGGTGGGACATGAACTTCACATTCATTTTATAAAAGACCATACAAAATTCCTCAAGCAATTATAGAATTTGACTTTTTAACAAAGATTAGAATTATGTGATATTTGCATTAGTAGACTTATATCATTCACAGATTTTGCATGTTATGTTAATAGTTTTTCCAAAAATAATGAGTTCAGCAATTCTTGAAAACAGTACAAAATATTTTTGTAGAACAAAAATCAGTAGAATATAATGAATCTAGACAATCGAGTCATCAAATCAAAAATACAGCAAAAGTTATAAAAAACTTGAAGCAATTTTAAAAAGAAGCAGTAAGACACCAAGCAGCATTGGGTGATGTGACTTTTAGATGGTGTGATGATAATCCTAATAACTCCATAAAATTAGTTAAAGATATTGAAAAACTTCAACATGATTTACAGTCCTTTACCAAAGTCAAAGAAACCAATATACAAATCCATTAGGAAGCTGTTTCTGAACTTTTTAGAAGATACAATTATTCAACAAAATTTGACGATAAAGCAAAGAAGGTTGTTTTATCTGCTGTCCTACAAAGGCACATTCTTGATTATATCTATGAACTCTCTAAAAGTTTTAGAAGGAGAATTCCACCAGATACAAGTTGTTTAACAAATGACCAACTTGAGGCAAACATTGCTTCTCAGATACAAGAATTATGCCCATTAATATCTCATTTTTCAAATGTTAATCTGGGAAATGACAAACACATGCATATCCTTTCAATAAAGTTACATCAATATATTTTTACTGCCCTTTCCAATAGAGGATTTACTAAACAAAATCATCAACTTGTTCAACAAATACTTGAATCTCTGATAAAAGAAATGTATCAATATAGAACAATAAAATCACAAGATAAAAGTAAACTTGTTTCAAAAACAACCTCAATTATTAAACAAGTCTTAAACATATTTTATGATTAGAAACCCAAGAGCCAATACTCAAGATTAAATTTTATCATGCTGGTGATCCTATTGATGTTGAAGTTATGGATGGTAATTGGCAAGGTGATGCTAGAGATTTTGAAGTTAAACTTTGCTCATTTCCAGCTATCTTAGTAATTGATGATGAAAAAAGAATATTTACTAAAGCTCAAGTAATGGCACAACAAAAAGTTTAAACCACACAAATTTATTGGTTTTCATAACATGAAACTTTTAAACAGACCTGGCTGGCATGCTTCTTTTTTTTTTTTTTTTTTTAAATTTGGTGATTAAAACATATAAAAAATTTTTTTACAAGTTTCCAAATTTTGACCCGGCCAGGTTATGAAAACCAATTAAATAATTTTGCATGGCCTTAAACCAAACTCTTTTTGATGGAGCCAATGGATACTAGTTTTTTGAACTCCATTGGCTCCATTGCCAACCCTGACAGGCACACAGGAATTATAGTTCGGCACATTTTTGGCTCATTAGGCTCGCGAGCTTAATGAACCAAAAACGAGCCGAATTATAAATATATATATTTTTTCAAATGTATATTTTTTTAAAATTATTTATTTATTGTTAAGTTAAATATATATTTTTTCAAATGTATATTTTTTTTAAATTATTTATTGTTAAGTTAAATTTCATTATATATTAAATAAAACAACATTTCGTCACGAACATACGTATCTATATATGCGAGAGTTATTTTGAATATCACGTGAAAAAAGATACAGTATTTTGGAAACGAAACTCATGCGTAAATTCCAGACTCAGAAATCTTCATGATGTATTCTTAATCAATGTGATGTCAAAAAATAAACATAAGTTTTCAACTGATCTAAAAGATTAATAGTTTCTCACTTTTTTTTTTAAACGTCTCTCAAGTAACTTTATCTTTTTGCTGCAAAAAAAAAAAAAAAAAAGAAAAAAATATGTTTGAACCAAAATGGATATATAAAAATCAATTAAACTGGTAAAATTTTCGGTTAGGAAATAAGTGTTTGAAAAAATAAATAAATTTACATTTTTGATCGAACTCGATATTCTTGTAATATAGGAATAGAAACAGATCCATAATGATTCGCGGTAAAAATAATCAAAGTAAGATTTAATTTGAACCATTTATCGATTTAATTTATAATATTTAATTCGTGTATCGGACAGGTGATAAAGTACATCGGCCTTTATATAAAAATAAAGTTTGGACTCGTGTGCAGGGAAACATTTCCAATGAACGAAAACGTCCTAGATGTGAAAATGGTGAAAATGTACAAGAGCTTTCGTTTCCTAAAAGAATCAAAGGTGAACTAAGAGATCAAGTAAAAAAAGACAATTAAAATTCTTTTATCGTTTTATTTATCATTCTTTCTGACCTCAACAGATTCCAATTATCATGTTGATATTTTGTCTTGACTGTGCTATTTGCGCAGAAATCTGAAATAGGTCCACCTTACAAATTTGAAAATCAATACATCCCTTCTCATGAATACCAACATATTTATTTTGATCATAATATTAACGGGGGTAATCTTAATCGAGTTAAAAATATTTTACTTACAGGAAGAGTAAAAGTTGACGTGAAAAATCAGGTAAGACTAAAAAAAAATTTGTTTACATTTCCCGTATGAGTGATACCTACAAACTCTTATAATTATAGATGTCTTGGAAGTATAATAACAGTAAAACTCAAGGTACACATAATATGAAAATTCAACGATGCTTGGATCATAATAAAACGAACATCAAATCTAGCGATGCCATCGTTGAACGTTCTTTATCCAGTCACCCTCTGAATAAAAAGGAAAACATTGAACAAGATACAAGTTACAAAAATGGTTATTACGCGGATCATTCTTTTAAGAAAAATGTACAACACGCGTGGGGAATCGAGTCTGATGAACCCTCAACTATTGTTGTCAGATATAGTAAGAATTATAGTGTTAAAAAAAATTGTGTTAATTCGAATGGTTGCCTTTTAAACAGTAAAGAATTTACTCCATGGAAACCTTGGGCTAACCAACAAGAATTTGAATTAGCTTTGAATAAGATCGATCGTTATTATCAGGCAAGTAATTTAATGACAATGAAGTGATCTTTAGTTTTATTAGTAACAATGCATTTTAACATTTAATAACATTTAATTTAGAAGCTGTTTTATACTAAGAAGCCTTTCGCAAATTGATTATCTTATAGAGATCTTAATATTAGTGTAAACTGAGCATGTAACTTTAGCGCTTTTATTTTTTACTAGTTGTTAGGTCATAATTCATAGCTTTAAACATAAAATTAAGCAATGAAATTACGTATTAGAAATTATTAGAATTAATGCTTTACTGCTTGCAAGCACTATCATCTGAACCTGTTTTTAATTGCACATAAAAGTTGTTATTATGTATGGATTAAGTATTTAATTGCACATAAAAGTATGGATTAAGTATCGATATTTTGCTAATCGCAAGCAACACCATACTACATATGTCAAAACCCTTAAAGAAAAACGAGTCAATTTCCAAAAGCAACCTTTCACCGGATAAACTCATATGGCGTTATGGTGTGGATTTATTATCAAGAAAACGACTATCACTTCATGATACACAAACATAAAATCGTGCACTAGCTTTCCAAAATAGTTGATAGTAATAGCAATGTCCTTCATTCTAAACTAGTAATTTCTTGACATAAAGAAACACACAACGGATTCGTAGCATTTATATGTATTAATTTCTGCGGATATCGATACGAATATCATATACGTCATATATGTAAATCAAGTACAAATCATTAACCAACCAAAAATTTGCTTGTCAATGGTCGAAGGATCTCTAGTCAAACTGGGTTTGGTCAAATTGATCAAATGATTTGGCTTATTAATTACAATTTGACCAATTTTGATCAGTAAGCTCTTGGATCAGACCGGTCAAATTGGTCTGGTCAAGATTGACCGTTGACCAATCCTGAATATATTAATATATATAATTTAGAACAATCGTAATATTAACTATGTATGCTAAAGAAGTTTATCCGGATTTAGTGATCCCCTTTTTTCAAAAAAAAACCTGAACTAAATCTTGATGGATTTTCTTAGATAAATAACTATACACGTAACTTATATTTTAAATGTGTTAGCTTAAAATCGAATTTATCACATTTACCATAAACATCCACAATGACATGAAAATGTGACCCGAAGGTGTTTCGTTACAATCTTAAAGTATTCCGTATAAAAGCGTCTTTTAAAGTGTTTCGTTATAGTGTCTTAAAAAAAAAAAAAAAAAAAAAAACTTTTTTTTAAGGTGATTCGTTATAAAGGGTCTTAAAAAAAAATATAAAATTTTTTTTTTTAAAAAAAAAAACTGATTTTTTTAACAAAAATGGACGCACATCATGATATATTCTATGAAACATTTCCACATAATTCTAAAGATTCAAAGCGACAATATAAAGATTCAAAGCAACAACATAAATATTATTCAGAAGTTTTTCAATTTTTTGGAGGTATAAGAAGTTTGGATGATTATATTTGTCTGTTTCTTGTCGTATGGAATAATGATCCAGATCTTTTTAATGCACTTGAGGAGTTTTATTTTGAATCATCAGTCATTCAAAATGCAATATGTAATATATCTTCGCACTGTGGAAATGTTACTATGGATTATTGGTTTGCACAATATATTCAAAGTATAGAATCAAGGAATGCACAATTGCAATATGAAATAATTAATGTTATTATTGATTACCTTCACAACCAACATAATTTACCAAATTCCGTGCAAGAATGTCTATCTAATATGGATCCACCACGAAGACATCTATTACGTTTGATATGTACTTTTGGGATTCAATCTTATTTTTATTTACAATTTGTAAACTATATTTCTTCAACCCAATTTATGCCCCATATTAATTTTATGTTTTATGGAAGCTACCCGAAAATACAAGAAGTACAAAATATACAAAATAATAAATCAGAACAGATAACAGTTTTAGCAACAAAAAACAACGAATTGGTCAATGAAACTAAATGTGAAAAAGACAAATCATTGAAAAATTCGATCAAGAAACAATCAAACAAATTATCTTTGGGAAAAACATCACAGGATGATATAAAAAGCATGCGTCAAGAAATAGAACGTTTGCGTCAAGAAATAGAATATTCAAGAAGTGAAGCAGCAAAATATCAAGCTGAGTTAGGGGATGCTACAAATTGCATATGGAAAGACGATGATCCTAATAATCCTTGTCGTTTAAGTGAAGAATTTAAACATCTTCAAGATGAATTGTTTAATTTCGCCAAGGTAAAAGGAGGGTCTATAAAAATTCATGCACAAGCGGTTAATGACCTGTTTAAAAAATATAAACGCTCAATAACGTCTGATGACCCAGGAATGAAATCAATTCTTTCTGCTGTCTTACAAAGACATGTATTTGACTTTATTTATCACGAAATAAAAAATTATTTTGAAAATTTTTCAATAGATCAACCTGGAATTATACCGAATGAATTACTTGAAGTTAGCATAAAAACAAAAACAGATGATTTGATTAGCTTAACTAGTCAATTTTCAGAAGTTAATCCAGGAAATGACGTACATACGCGTATTCTTCCAACAAAGATACGTCAACAAATTTATGCTGCTTTAAGTAATAGGGGATTTACCAATCCAGATCATCCACTCATTCAAAGAATTGTTAAAAAACTCTTGGAATTAATGGATAGATACAGAACAATAGAATCAAAAGAAAAAAAGGATAGATCACAGTTGAAAGCAAGACATATAGTTCAGCAAATGATGAAATTGTTTTACTTTCGTATATACACTCAAGAACAACCTCCAAAACTTATTTTTTATGAGAATGGTGATTCTTTCGATGGGTTGAGTATGGAAAACCTTGCTTATGAGGATCCAGGGGAATCTGATGTTGAATTTTGTGCATTTCCAGCGGTAGCAATTATGGTGAATAATAGTGATATTTATGTGCTTGCTAAAGCAAAGGTAGTATTACAACCTAGAACTGATAATATAACCGTTCTTAATTGAAAAACAAAATTCATACTATTCTTTTTTTTGTTTTTTTTTGTTTTTTTTTGTAAGCATATAACGAATTCTTCACATTTTTTTCTTAAAGAACTATAAAATTATGACCTCGCCGAAAATTATAGTTCATAGAAAAACATGGTACATTTTTTCGTCCCTCAAAATTTCTTAAATAGTATAGAGCGTTACTACATTTAATGTGACTAGATGGTTCTGACTATATACAGTGTACTATCCTGGCAAATCTATTTAACTATTTACTATTAAATAAAGAAATTCTGCAATTCGGACTATATAGTAATAAATTACAGTCAATTATAAATACATTTGTTAATTTGTTATTACAATGGTAATGTATCAAAAATTGAATGTTGCATTGAATAATCAATAAAATAAGAAAATGCCAATGAACTAAATAAATCAAGTCAATATTAGTTTTTCCTTTGATTCAATTAATTATTAAACGCGAATTAGTTCTATATAATATCCACTATAGTTACAATATAAATTAAAGAAATTACAAATAGGTATCCCTTATAAATATTCATTCTAAAATACTCTAATTCTATTCGCATAATAATTGCTCAGGTAACTCATCAGGAACCGGATTTCCTCTTAGTCGTTCATCGATCAAAAACATGCCAACACAAAATTCGTTTTTGGATAAACGTCCATCTCCATCAGTGTCCAAAAGATCCCTTAAATAAGTAAAATTTATTACGAATTTGTTCGTCTTAAATACCATATAAATAAATACCAAGAAATGCATCTTACCATATTTTACGTAAAGTTTGATTATCCAACCGACTACGTACGTATATTTCCTTGACAACAGCTCCTAATAAAATAAAAACGCTTGATATAGACAAAATCTTTAACTCAGATGATTAAAATCGAATAAAAAGATAATCACCATCAATATACCCGTCATCATCTTTATTTGCTTCAAAAACAATTTCATACCGTTTTCTAGCATCAGGCTTAATACCTTGAGATAAATTATGTTCTAGATTAAATCACATTCATAATAAAATATGACAATTATAAAACCATTTATGAATACTTTAATTAATTTATATATAAGAAATTAGATTCATTACCTTTGAAAGGATTGTTATGCTGCGCCGGCCTACGAGGAATTTTAATTTCTGAATTATTAGTTTTCCTTGAAGGAATCGAAGGTTTCAGAGAATTTGATTTTGTTAATGCATTAGAAACCATATCGGACGCTTTTGAAAATGTAAATCCATTATTAGCGTTGTTACTGGATCTCGATTTTTGTGTGTCAGATACACTCTCTTTACGTAATTCTGTCACTTTATCATCAAAAGCTTCTCCTGCAGCCTTTTGTGCTTGTTTGTCTGCCTCTATTTGTGCACGCTTTTCTATGCGATTTAAAAATCCATCAGGAACTTTTTTTCCGTATTTTGATTCACCGTATTCAGCTAAATATTTATATAGTTAATAGTAAAATATAGTTTGATAAAGATAATAATATTTTTATACAAGTAAACTTACCTTTGCCTTGTGCAAATGCTTGTGATATGCCCCGCCTTGCGGCTTGTCCCGCCATATCTTGAGTAGTACTCTTTGCTTGGCTTTGAGCTTGATCAATCTTTTTTGAATCAAACATCTTTGTCTTTTATGAATGGTACAAATTAAGTATTTAACATAAAATTAAAGATCTAACATAAACTTGGCACTACACGATTTACTTACTAGTTGCCCAGATTTCGCAGATATTGAGGGTGTTTGAAGTATTTCATCATTACTATCACCATTTGTTAGTTTGGAAGGTGAGGAAGATGGCTTCCTTGGCGGTAATGGTGGTTTTGAAGTATTTACAGTATCATCCTTAACTTGTCGTGAAGGTAAAACAGGTGCTATTTTATTATTTAAACTAGATGATTTAGGTTTGGGTGCAGTAACGGGGGGTCTCATTGGAGCTACTGGTTTTTGCGATTGATTAGCATTACGATCGAAATTTGCCTTAATATCCTTAACAGAAATTCTTGGTATTTCTTCTTCATTTGGTTCCTCTGATGAATCCTTTTCTATATAAGATGTATTAGGTTGAACTTTCGGCTTTAAAGTGGGTGGTGTTTTTATTGATGACTTATATCCGATAGAAGTTGTAGTTTTCGACTGAGGAACCTCATTGGATGAATCTTAATAAATAACGATAATACAGTAAGACAGATAATTAAAGAAAGGTTGTATATATACTATTAGATACTTACTTAATTTTTCTGCGTCTTGAGTCGGTTTCCTTGGAGGCAAACGTGGTGGAAGTTTCGGTGGCGCCTGAGAAGATATAGAATATTCATATTAAACAATTTATTAAAACGGTGTTGGGCAACCTCTATATCCAGTGAATTTTACTGAACACTGGAACATAAACAAGCTATCCAGTGTCCATTGATCTATCGACGTGTATAGTTTTAGCTTACTTAACCTTAACAGAAGTTTCTTATTGATAAGAATTGTATGCAGTATTATGAATTTAAATTCACCGGATAATCCAATTGTCCGGTTACCCAAACCTAAATTATTGAAATAAATTAATAGAATATATGAGTAATACCTTTTCTTCGCATACTTCTACATAATTCTCCGGTATAAGTCCGCTTTCCTGAGAATTTTCCTTTCTACCGCGCAACCAACCTAGTTCTTCCGTTTCGACCACTAATTAAATATTAGAACAATGGTTCAATTAAATAAAATTGTTTTAAAGATATCCTCCGACGCGATAAAAATAGCTTACCATCGACGATTATGTCGCCTTTCTTGAAAGATAACTCCGAAGCATCTTCGGCAGAACAATCATAAAGTGCCTTAACTCTGAGCGGCATATTTATAAGAGTATATTTGCAAATGTTTAAATTTGTACCGAAAATGGCTCGTTTTTGACTTGTGTAGAATAGCCTCGAATTAAAGTAGGGAACTTAGCATAACGATAATGAATTTGTTAAAATAATTTTGACCGGTTAAAAATAAATCAATGTCCGCATTGATAACAAATCCTGTGACTTAATAGTAGATAGATCAGGTTCTTCGATACGACGTGAAAAAATCCAATTGGGCAAATTCTAAAAAAGGTGGTATTACTAAAGCCGACCCAAACTTTCCTAAATTCTGGCAAAAAAATGAAATGTTGTTTAAATAATACAACCTTTTTTAGAATTATCCGGTGTACATGCAACTTCATCTCTTACGTAATACATAGCGATAGAAAATTTTGTGCATGCACTAGAATGGATCAGACATACCGATACGTATAAGTCTGACTATTAGAAATTAATCTTCAAGAAGCAGACCAAAAATATTACCTGCTCTCCCCTTGATAGGATAATGTAATTAAAATCAGCTAATTGACTAAGTCGACTAAGCCAATAACTTTATCGGCTTAGTTATAATTACCGACCAGGAATACTAGTTAATTCGACTACATATCTATATATATGTATAGATATATATATATATGCTGTATGACATTAGATTTTAACTCCTTTCTCTTGCCCCCAAAAAATATTAAATAGTGCTTCCCTTAAAAACCGCAATTAGATTATAATCTTGTTTAATTACTGTTTACTAAATACAGAATTGTTTTACTGACTGATTTCCTAAATACAAAATTGTTTTACTGATTGATTTGCAAGAAATCTGATTGGTCAAATTAATATCATTACCGTAATGCTTGTAGCTTTATTTTTATTCCTTATTTTTATCCTTTAATTCGTTAAATATGGGTCAATATATCATTTGAAGGCTATGTAGATATAAATAATAGAATTGAAAAAGCTTAAATAGGGAAATATTAACGAACAAATCGGCCAGCCCTAACTTTAAATCGGTCAAGCCTCAGTCCTCGGAATATGCACCATCTCAAGATTTTGTCTGTTGGGATTATGTACCATCAGGATTTTGCTTGAAATGCTAAAATTCTGACTAGTACAAAATCCTAACAGTATAGAATTTGATAATCAAATATTTTGTAATTCGTTGTTTATTTAAATTCTAACTATTCAAAAATTCGACAGAACAAATTTCTATCTATAGTTGTATACGAATTCCTACAAAACAAAGACTTATCCGTGGTATACATGTGTGCCTAAATTATTTTCGAAAAAAAGTATTTTCGGCAAACATTTCGGCATTGCTAAATTTTTTATATTACAGCTATTATCATAATTTCTGCTCATTACCCGAAATCTTTTTGGTCGTTCGGTAAATTACATAACTCTCCTGAAATTACATCACTGCTTCCGGATTGAAGGTCCGAAGACAGTGATGTAGTTTCCGGAGAATTAGATAATATACCGAACGACTAAAAAGATTTCGAGTAATGAGCAGGTGTCCCAGAAATTATGATAATATCTGTGAACCCTCCGAAATAACTATACTATATGATCAGGGTTGGTCAAATCACTGGTCATTAATCAAATTGGTCCGGTCAAATTGGTCAAATGGTCTGGTCAAATTGGTCAAATGGTTTAACCAATCAAATTAAAGATTTTAATTATATAAATTTTTTTATTAAAATTTAACTAATTTGATCAATTTAACTGATTTGACTAAGATCAAACTAATCAAATTAGTCAAGTTTAATCTGTTTAGTTTATATAATTAATATTATATTGATATATTTTATTTTGATTAGCTAAACAATTTTGATTAGTATAAATTCTTTGACTAGACTAATCAAATTAGTTTAATTAAGCTTGACTATTTGATCAGTTATACCATCTTTCTGGATTTAATTTTATCAAATTTTTATAAAGCAGTTTTATAAAGGCTTTATAAGCAAAAAACAGCAATTAGTTAATAAAATACAATTGTATAGTTTAAGTTTAATTTTATGAATTTTTTTTATATTTAAAACCTAGTAATTATACAACATTATACAAATAATTAGATTAAATTTTGTAAAATATTATATTTAATTTTTAATCTATATCGATATACAATAAAAGTCTACTAATTTTTCTTACCAGTTATTATTT